TTATTATTATTATTATTATTATTATTATTAGTCTTGACTTTTTGTGCAAGTTAACAAAGTCTCACAGAAAAGATATTAGTCTTACCATAATTTATGTGAGGGAATTGGGCATATTTAAGAAAAGAGTTTACTGAATTTATTTCTTTGAAATATCAAACACTGTGGCTACATGTCCGACAGCTGGGCAGGTTTTTTAAAATACTCCGTGTCTGGCCATGAGAGTTTTATAAATTAAAGCAACGTGAAAAGAACTTTATGACAGGCAACCCCAAGAGGAATCAAACCCGGGTAGCTGGTATGGCAAGCGATACCCATGACCACTGCACCATGGCAACCAGCCAGCAGTGCTCAGAATTTTTTATATATTTATAGAGTTACCCTTAGCATTATTGAAAGCTAACCATAAACAGGCTTCCCAAGTGCTATTCAGGCTAACCAGAGTGATTTTTAGGCTAACCAGAGTACTATTTAAACGTTTTGACTGCCAATTATTTTATAATAGTCTATGTTATAAATCCTGGTGTAGGGTGCCAGCTCACCAAATTTCACACTACGGTGGAAATAGTGAAGTATTCAGCCATATAAACAAGGATTTGATATTATTAAATGAATTTTTAAAAAATAATTTTGACTGCCGGACATGGAGTATTTTGAAAAACCTGTCCGGCTGCTGGACAAATTAGAGACGCAGCGAATATCAAAACTGACTTTTGTACCTTTTTTCAAATTGGCATTTTGGAGAAAATACCGATTTAACCACAAGTAATGCTCTTTACCTACTTTGAACAATAACAATGTTTGAACATCCAGAGACTTAATCGATTACTAAACCACCTTCGCAGCTTTACCTGCCATTTCTTTATCCTCCTGGTTTTCCTTTGCATTATTTTTCTGTTCTCGTGCTCTGGCATGCACCTCATGAATGCCTTCCTCTATTTCCTTCATTAACGCCTTATGGTCATTTTGAAGACCTGATTTAACATTCGAAAGGATGTAGGACAGCATAAGAATGAGTCAGCAAATTAAGCCCACGCGCATATTGTTTATCACCATGAGCCAAATACTATTTAAAAAAATTCGCCTCCTCTTGCCTTTAAATAATATAACACCATGAAATTTGAAACAGAATATTATCTTTCTTACATATAATTCGATTTCTTGCAACACGAACCGCGTAAACATCGATATCTGAGCGGGGATAATTCTCATCGTCGATCAACTTTCCATGCATCCCGACTCCTTTTTGCTGAAAAAAAATAAAGTTTTAAAGTTACTTCTATAGTCATTTATCTGAATCTAAATATCTAGTTGCTCGTAGATAGAGCTTACAGATTCAAGAACGTCTTGAAACTCCTTGATTTCCTGTTCAATTGCATCTTTCTTTGCCATCAAATCTTTCACTTTTTGCATTGAAACGTCCGCCATCTTGAAAATGAAGGTCAGTTAGTGTGCATGCGGGCTCAAAAAATATGTCATCATGAAAGCGAGGCTGATTTCTTCGAGACGAAAAATAACATGGTAACTTGTGTACATGATGTATTTTCGTGAGTAAAAACATATCGTTTTGGGCATCTTTTGGGGTAGCTGACACTCTGTTTTGAAAGAATGGAAGGTGAAGTTCGCCGTGGAGCCGATGCAGCGGCTGATAATGCCTCTCAGGGTTACATGTTGACAGTAGGAGTTATGGAAGAAGTACTCGAGAAACTAAAATTGCTTGACTACGAGACGGACTTCTGTAAGCAGATGGGTTTTAGACCTCTATCAAGGTTTGAATTTGTTTCATATGTCCACTTTAGATTTTTTTAGCCAAAGTCAACATAAGATCATATTAAAATCGACGGTTTTTATTTACTTAGCTATGTGGCAACAAAATATGGAAGAGATCTTTTAAGTGTGGCTACTAACTGAGAAAAATATTGATCTCTTATCGATTTGTATTTCTTGATGCAAAAGAAGTACCATTTTCGTTGTTCATTTTCTAGTCTGATATCCACCATAAAGCTCTGGAAGTAAAAGGAGGC